ATTGTCCATTAACTCACCTGGGGGAAGATTTCCTTCTAGAATGCTCATTCAATAGGTCTGTCTTCATAGTTTGTCCCTTACTTTTAAAAAAATCTTTGCACAAGTGTCACCTAAGACTTCTTTCCAATTTACCCTGTATAAAACGGCACACCCAATACTTGCCCTTTTTCCCAACTCCGTGTTTTCATAACATCCATCATCTGACAATATTTTAATGTATGTGTGTATGTTTATTATTTATGCCACTTTCCTGACTATAAGCTTGCTGAAATCAGAGAATCTGGTTATTTGGTATAATGCTATATCTCCAGATATACTTTCTTCATTGAATGAATGAATAAATAAATTGGCAGAACTCACAAACATTCTGACTGGCATAGGAAATGTAGTGACTCCATTTGAACTAAACGTATAAACTGTAAACTCCCCTTCACTATTTATCTGCTAAATGATGGCTACTAAAATACTATAACTCTCCCCAGATTTAGAATACTATTTTGGGCTTCCAGAAACAACCAATATGTAAATAATGGCTTTATACTTAATTAAGAGAAATAAATGAAACAAGCCCATTAAAAGAGCCATATAAAATGTACCTCTGAGAATCTTAACTGACTCTAAAATTGGCAAAATGATAGTTTAGGTATTTTGCTCATGTTATGTATGAATTAATAGCTCTGATGGTTTTCAACATATATCTTATCCTTTGGTAATCTTTTTTTATTTTTTATTTTCTAATTGAAATATAGTCTACATACAATATTATGTTTCAGGTGTACTGTATAGTGATTTGACATTTACATACACTACAAAATCATCACTATGATGAACCTAGTAACGATCTCTCTCCATAGTTATTATAATAGTATTGACCATATTCTTTATGATGTGTATTACATCTCTAGGGCTTATTTATTTTACGACTAGAAGTTTGTCTCTCTTAATCCTCATCACCTGTTTTGCCCAAACCATCCTTCTTCCTCAAAATCTGGCAACCACCCATTTGCTCTCTGTATCAATGAGTCTGTTTTCTTAGTTTTCACATACAAATGAGATTGTATTTGTCTTTTGACTTATTTCACTTAGCATAATACTCTGTATATCAAGTTGTTGCAAATGACACAATTTCATTTTTATGGCTAATATTCCACACACACACACACACACACACACACACAGGTATCTATACCCAAATATACACAGACACATATCCATATATCACATCTTCTCTATCCAGTTACCTACTAATGGACACTTGGGTTGTTTCCACATCTTGGCTACTGTAAATAATGCTGCTATGAACACAGGGGTGCATACATCTGAAAAGTGTTTTTGGTTTCTTCAGAAAAATACCCAGAAGTGGAATTGCTGGATCATTTGGTAATTCCATTTCCAATTTTTTGAGGGGCCTCCATACTGTTTTCCATTGCGGTTCTACCAATTTACATTCTCACCAACAGTACAGGAGGGTTCCCTTTTATCCACATCCTTGCCAATACTTACTTGTTTTTTGATAACAGCCATTCTGATAGGTGTGAGGCGATATCTCCTTGTGTTTTTAATTTGCATTTCCTTAATTATTAGTGATATTGAGCATATTTTCACTTGCTTTTTGGCCAGCTGTCTTTTCTGGAAAAATGTTCATTCAGGTTCTCTGCCAATCTTTTAAATGGAATTTTTTTTAATATTGGTAAGAATTTGATTTGATATTTGATATTCAGTAGGCTGCCTTTTCACATGGTAGATGATTTTGTTCACCTTGCAAAAGCGAGTGGGTTTGACCTGGGCTCCTTTAGAATTTCTCCCTCTGCTCTGGGACTTGGAGTATGTTGAGATTTTGCACGTGCCCTATAGGAGCACCCTGTCCCACCCCACCCCCCAGCTCTCAAAGGTAAGCCCAGTTTTTCAGAAAGGTAAGCTCAGTTTTTTAGCCTGTTTTTAAATCCCTGACCAGATGTCCTGGGGGCTCATCTTTCCAGTGCAGAACTCCCAGACTAGGAGCCCAGCATGGGCTCAGACCCGCCTCGCTCCTTGGGGAGACCTCTGCATGTGTGAGATTCTTCCGATTTGCGGTCAAGGACTTGGGGGTGTGAGTCCGGACTATACCAGTCTCTCCCACTCCTAGGCATCTTGTTGTGGCTCCTTCTTTATATCTTTAGCTGTAGAGTCTCTTTTCTGCTAGTCTTTAGGTGGTTTCCATAGATAGTTACTCTGTAAATAGTTGTAATTGTGGTGTACATGTGGGAGGAGGTGAGATTGGAGTCTTTTTTCTCCATCATCATGAGGAACCTTTCCAAAACTTATATTTAACTGGAGAATATGCTTTGGAAAATCTCTCATATTTACAAATTAACCTGATTTCTAGCAAAAGAATGAATTGTGTAAATTTAACAGAAAAAGCTAATTTGCACATGTAAGAGAATTCAGGTAAACTGGTAGCACACACAGTGACCAGTATATATGATCATAATCAGCGTAGTCTCTATCATGTGATTTTCCCCACAGGCCTTAGAGAAGCGAAGTATAAGTTTAGGGTCTTTAAAAGATCCTGATGAATTAAGTGAAAAAGTGAGAGTGTTAGCACTCAGTGGTGTCTGACTCTCTATGACCCCACTGACTGTAGTCCACGAGGGTCCTCTGTCCATGAGTTCTCCAGGCAAGAATATTGGAGGTGATGACGTACGGCCTGTCTTAATTCTGGAGTATTCTCTCATGCTATGGTAGCCCAAGGCTGAGCTCCAGGGGAATCTGATTTGGTCCTTAACTGACCCAAGTTTGATGGAACTTCTGAAGTCAACTGAAAAGTTAAGACCATTTTTAAAGTGAGGCTGAGGTGGTACTGGCTGGGTACAACCAGGAGAGGGGATGGGGCGGGCTGCACACACAGGTCCTGATGCAGCATTGCTTTTGCTGTATTCCTCCTAAGATCATTTAGCTTTCCATTTAATCTTTAGTCTTTTATGAAATGTCAAGAAGGGTGTCACCATATTCATACATATTACTTTCATGACGTATTAACTATGTAACAGGAAAACAGAAAAACCATCTATGTATTTTATAGAGGTTGTAAGAATACAAAGTGTTTCACTACAATTATTAGCTTGAATTTAACTGACTGTAGTTTCATAACCTAATGTCGCAAAGGTAGGATCTCTTCAAAGTTAAGGTATTTTTACTTTTAAGATGAGGATTTATAAAGCTTCTCTCTTCATAATTTAGTAACAGACCTATTTACTTTCCAACCAACCAATCTACTTAAAAAAAAAAAAGAAATTCTGTGTATGAAGAAAGCAGCTTCTTTCTGAAGGAAGGCAGGTCTTTAACATGAAGAAAGGATACTTTCAAACACTGTTTGTTGAGAACTTCAGCAGATGCCACCCTCTGGGCTGAGACTAGAATGTAGAATCCTCTCAGTGGCTTGCAATGTTTATGAATTTTCCACACGACAAATTAATGTTCCTGTTCTTATAAAAACGCCTGTGCACAAACCATACAGCAGTGATACATTAGTATTTACATTTATTTCATGTATGCAGTTTACACACTCACTACTGAACAAAATTGGAATGCAGACAAATATACACATACCATAATAAGCATTATCAAATAAAATAACTGGCACTAGTGTTATAAGCATATTAATGGGCCTGGTGAGAAAAGTGATGAAAGAAGACTGCAGCCCATGGCATTTTTCCTTTTATCAAAAGAAAACGCTTAGTAGCACCATAATGGTAATACTTAATAGAAACATATAAGATGGAATATTTTAACTGCTAATCACTGAGGTGAGCCTGTTTCATTTAAGTGAATTATACTGGAAATTAACAGTATAGGCAATATTTTGGCCAACTTTTGTTTATGTCAGTTAAACATCTTCCATAAACAAAAGCAAAGGAAAATAAAGCCAGCCATACACGGACCCCTCCTTAGTACTCGGTACAAACTCTGCGCCATGCTTTGATTTCACGATTGGAGAAGATATGTGCTATAAAAACTGAGGTTATGTAGTTATTCACTAAAGCCTGAGTGTGTCTTTGGTAGGCTAATAATTTTTCAGCATTGTTACTATAATTATATTGATGTTTCTCTATCCTGTATTTTTCTACATAATCCAAGGTGACTAAGGAGGACTTTATGGAAAACAATACAGCAAAACTCTCAGACAAGTAGGCCCTTAAAATCCAGTCTATTCCCAAGGCACCAGGGATCAACAGGGTACAAAGTTCCCCTTTGGGAAAGGTGACTTTTTGTAATACTTATAAACTAATGAAATTTTATTTTGCAGCTTTGTATATCTTATTTGGTGCTGTCAGTATACTTAATTACCTACTTTTACACTTGTCTTCTAAGATGGCAACAATATACAAGCTAAATAGAGTACCAGGTATTCCTATTTCAAAGTTGTGCAAACTGCCACAATCTTGCTCAAGGTGTCTAAGTATCCACATGGTAGCAATTGGGCTGCGTTAGCTGTATATATCCACACTGCATATGAAGAAGAGACGAAATTTATGCCCAGTGATGAACAGAAATGTTACAAAGAATATCATATACTGAGAATAACCTGCAAGGTTCTTTAAACAGTATCCCTTAGTGGTTTCAATAAAATGTCACTAACCACTTATCCCTAAGCCTCAAGTTCTCTTCCTAAGAATGCTGTAGAACTGCATTAGTACTTTATATTGATTATAAATTAAGCCAAATTTCTATCTAAATACACAAGTATGTGCTTCAAGCACTGATTTCTGGCAAACACACAAAACATAATTCTCTTAAGAATTATTGTCCTTACGATAATGCACTTTTAAAGCTTTCATTTCATAGTTTGGTAATTAAGATCCACGTGAAACACAACGCTTTCTGAACACAGAAAACGTATCTGCATTATGATTATGTCACCCGGCCTGTGCTGGCAACTTGAACTTAAAACAGCCATCTGTAGTTCAACCAGCTCCAAACAAGGTTTTTCAAGTGGTAATTACTTTGCAGCATGTATAGGTCTATATATCAGTCTGAATTGCAACTTTTAATTCCATTGTCTGATGTGAGTGGTTGTTATTTGTTTCTTTTAGCGCACTGCCAAAATATAAATCAACACTGGGTTTTATTCCACTGTTACCATGTTCTTCTGCAATATGATTCAACTGTGGAACTTCTGAACATGAAGCAGTTTGGGTAAGCACAGAAATGCTACACTGATGGGGGGAATTTTCCAGTCGGTCATTTTCTACCTCAGGAAGAATATTAACAGTAGCAAACCGGGCATGATAATCAGTGGAACCATGACTACAAGAAGTTTTCATGCTTTCTAGGTCAGAACAACTAAATTCAGAAAAGTGACTAGAGTGGGAATCTGCTACGGACGGCATACTGTCACTGAGGGATGGAGCCTCAAATTCACTTGAGTTCGTGCTTTGTTGTTCTAACAACTGTGCATCCATGTCCTCTCGGGTCTCGTTTATCTTCATGTTACTCTTCTTCCTCAATTTACCACTTTTTGATTTCTTTCCTGCTGCTGCTTCTTTGGACCACTTGGTGGCGCTGGATTTGCCGTCAGGCAAGCCACCGGACGAGCCCCCAGGCTGGCTCCGGGAGGCACCGCCATCCTCCACACTGCTGCCTCCACTGTTGTGCCTGAACTTGGATGGCTTTGATTCAATATCCACTTGGACCTCCATACTGTTGCCTTCTCTGGAACATAAGTGAAACAAATACAAATTTCTGACTTCCTCTTTTTTTTTTTATTAAATGCAAATGCATCAAAGGGGGAGGGTTTCTGGGTGAAAATATCAAAGACTGTATAAAAGCATCGGAACAAATTAATGCAGGATACATTCTACTAATCGAAAAAAGCTCCTTGAAATAAGAGAACTGTCTTTATAACAATGTTTCAATTAAGGGGAAAAAAAAGCAACTACGCTCACTTCTTACACTGTTCCAGGTACTGTGCTTACCTTCTCCATTTTTTTTCCAGAACAGTTGTAATGAGAGAGAATTTGCATATCACAAATTCACCTGTTTAAAGTACACAATTCAGTGGTTTGTAGTATATTCACAGTTGTCCAACCATCACCATGATCGAACTCCAGAACATTTTCATTGTCTGCCAAAGAAGCCCTGTACCATGAGCAGCCAGTTCCCATCCTCCCCCTCCCCTCAATCCTGAGCAACCACTAATCCACCTTCTGTCTCAATGGATCTGCCTGTTCTGGACATCTCTCACCACTTTCAGTTTTCAGAGAACCTAACAGTAGAGATAACTATTATTTACCATAATTCTGCTTAATGATAGGAATATAAATTAATCTAAAACTACTTTGACTTTACAACAACTTTTTCCTTACTTGTCCAGTGGGATGTAGGAATTCAGAATGGATCCTGCCATTGCCTTGGTGCTGGCATTATCACTAACTGTCCCCAAGCTGACTGTGCCGGACTCTCCACTTAGACTGTACCGTTCTTTCTGTACATCTGCTTGGACTTCCAACCTTAAAGAGAGGGGTATCAGAAAAAGACCAAAATTACACATAATATCAGCACTACTATGGGAAAGCTTATCTTCAAATAATTCAGTAACAAGAAGCTAATTTAGAGACAACTATAAGCATTTTTTTGAGTTTCCTTTTATTTGATTATTCAAATTCTATTGTAGCACACTGAATAGTACCAGTCATCTGAATAAAATGGGAAAATTAGCTGTCTGGCAAGTAAGGTAGTAACAGAGTAATAAAAATAGAATATAAAGGATTTTAACTTAAACATGCTCCATTATTCTCACTTAGGGTGTGGCACTCTGCTTCCCCTGCTGCTGCTGCTGCTAAGTCACTTCAGTCGTGTCCAACTCTGTGCGACCCCACAGATGGCGGCCCACCAGACTCCCCCATCCCTGGGATTCTCCAGGCAAGAACACTGGAGTGGGTTGCCATTTCCTTCTCCAATGCAGGAAAGTGAAAAGTGAAAGTGAAGTCGCTCAGTCGTGTCCAACCCTTAGCGACCCCATGGACTGCAGCCCACCAGGCTCCTCCATCCATGGGATTCTCCAGGCAAGAGAACTGGAGTGGGGTGCCATTGCCTTCTCCTCTGCTTCCCCTATTTCAGTGCAAAACACCAAACCTGAGTACATTAAAAACCATTCTAAGATCAATGAATCAAAAAATTCTGGGCATCTGTATACTAAAAATGGTTCTAAATTTAACACCTGACTCTCAAAAAAATAATAATATATACCACTATAACTTAAGAGTTTGTGTTTAAAAGCACACTACCTAAAAATAAGATAACTATAACGGATTCATCTTTTAATTCATGTATTTTCCCCTACATTAAAAAAACCCCTAAAGCTAGTAAACAAAAGAAAAATGAATTAAAGAGGAAACAAGAGACTAAAATGCTTAACCTATCCTACTTATCTATATGGCTTTTGGTAAAAGACTTTGTGAGAATTAAATAACCATTAATATAGAACAGGGCCCAGGCAGACTCCTTGGCCTCAGCCCATGCACTCCCGACATCCTGACACCACCTGTCCCCTCAGGCTTCAGCCAGCGTCTCATTCGCGAACATCCAGCTGTGGATGGCTACCTCCCAACAGATCTAAGTCCAGGCTTAATCAGCGCCTTTATGCGTTCAGCAGAGAAGCTCGAGCACTGACCCATAAAATCTGACAAGTGCAGTGAACGGACAAATGGCACAATGTTATCCCCAAAGTTTGGTTTTCACCTCATCAGATCTCCTGATCCACTGTTTGCCACGAAATTTCATTTTCTGAAACCTTAAAACTTACTTGAAACCTTACTGTTTTCAATCCTGACACAGCAGGATTATATGTAGTCATCGTGCTTTGTGTTCAAAATTCTCATCTAATTAGTTTGTTAAAACAAAACAAAACAACGCACAGTTTTCTTACCTGTTGAAACAGTTCACCATGGCACTTCCCGACAGGCTCCCTGTGATACTGGCTCCAGCGAGCGCCATGGTGCTGGCCGTCTCACTCAGGTTGTCCCGGATGGCCCCTATTCGATCCATGTGGCTCCCGCTTGCACTCAAACTGCCAGTCAAACCACCAACACTTCCCTCCCCTATGCTGGGGTTGTGTCTTGCTTCTGCTACTGAAGTTGTATCTAAATGCAAATATTTCAAAGAAATTAGTGTGATTATTAATTTCCCTCTCCTTAGAGTCTGTCGTGATTTTCAGATAGGATCCATTTTCATATAAAGTGTAAAACATACACAGGAATAGAAAAGATGTCTGGAGTCAGGGCCATGTAACTATGGGATAAGAGTAAAGGGAAATACCTCACAGAGTGAAGCTGGATTAAGGACTGGGCCTCAGTTTTAAATGGTCACTACAGGAATCTCTTGGAAGAACTGTGGGTTTGGTTCCAGACCATTGTAATAAAGCAGAAATATCACAATAAAGTGAATCATGAAGTTTTGGTCCTCCTAATGCAAATAAAAGTTATGTTCATACTATATATACTATAGTGAAGTGTGCAATAGCATTATGTCTAAAAATTGTATATACCATTGATTTAAAAAATTCTTTATGGCTAAAAAATGCTAACCATCATCTGACAAGTCAGGGTTGCAACAAACTTTCTTCAATTTGTAAAAATAAGTGATGAGCTACAAAATGCAATAAAATGAAGTGCACCTGCACTTTAGAAGAAAATCTAGAAGATTGAAGAATTCTATAAAGAACCTAATTGTTGAAAAATTTAGCTGACTTTGGAGGAAAATTATGTGATGGTTTTCAGTAACCATGTCTCAAGGTCAGTAAGAGTGGGTCAAAAGTTGACTTCTGAATATATTCCATAGTTCTGACTGTCTATAAGTTATTATGAGGTCTGATACCATTACATTCCAATCTTCCAGTACTTTTTCACATGCTTTATACTGGAGAATTTACTTATTTGCTCTAATATTTGAGCTCCTATTATATAACACAACTCTAAGTGCTGGGACACAGTGACTCAAAGAGACAAACATCTTGCCCTCAAAAGGCTTATGCTCCAATCAGGGAGAGCAATAAATACAGTTATATGGTGATAAATGCTATGAGAAAAAATAAATCAGAATAAAGTGTAGTAAAAGGCAGAGAGAGTGATGAGGAGTGCATGTGTCTGTGTGTGTGAGCCCGCATGCCTGTTTGTTGTTTTGTATAGTGTAATGAGAGAGGCCCTCTCTGAAAAGGAAGTGAAGGAGTGAGCCATGAAATTATCTGGGGGAAGACTAATCCAGGCAGAGGAAACTTCAGGTTTAAAAGCCTAGAGGTGGAAGTGTTTGGCACCTCAGCATCAAGGGCAGGAGGTATAAAATAGAGTGACAAGGGGAGAGTTCAAAGCTGCACCTCAGGACAGACCACAGGTGGACTTACAGGCCACAGTAGGGGCTGTGGGTTCCATTCCCTCACCCCTGGTACAGTCAGAAGCACTGAGAGAATTCTGAACATAAGTTAGGTCTAACTAAGGGATCACGTAAGAGGCTACTACTGTAACGAAGGCAAGAGAGTAGTTTGTACTAGTGGGACAGCTTGGACTAGTGGAATAGAGATCGTGAGAAATGGTTGAATTATGGCTAAACATTGAAGGAACCAGCAGAATCTGCTGATGGATCAGACGTAGGGTAAAAAGGGAAAGGGGAGCGTAATCTTAAGTAAAGGTTTTAGCACCGCAATAGCAAGAATAAAGAGACTACTTAATGAGGTAAGGATGACTGAGAGGCCAACAAGTTTGAGAGTGAAGAAAGAATCTGGTTACAGAGAAGTCAAGCGTGCAATTCTTGTTAAGACATTCAAGTGCAGATTAAAGAGAAGAGTTACATGTACAAACCGAAGTTCAGAGGACAGTTCTAGCCTAGATACAAATTTAAGAGTCATCTGTCTATATATATTATTTAATAGAGATTACCTAGGGAGTGTGTATAGATAAAGAAATCTGAGAATGAGCCCTGGGAAACTCCAAAATTCAGAGGTTAGGAGAAGAAAATGAATCAGCAAACAAGACTGAGAAGAAGTGGCCACAAGATATGAGAAGACAAGTAGAGAAAATGTTTTAAGAAGCAGGGCATGCGCTACCATGTCAAGTATACTGTCATAGTATGATGAAAATCAAGAATTGACCACTGTATTTGCTACATGGAGGTGCCTGGTGACTCTGCCTTGGTGAAGTGGTAGACATGAAATTTTGGACTGGTAGGGACCAAAATCTAATTGGAGTGAGTCCAAGAGAAAATGGGAGGTAGGAAATAGAACATTATCTTTGCACACATGCCTGATTAGATAAACAAGTAAAATAAAGTGAAGTCACTCAGTTGTGTCAGACTCTTTGTGACCCCCATGGACTGTAGCCTACCAGGTTCCTCCGTCCATGGGATTTTCCAGGCAAAAATACTGGAGTGGGTTGCCATTTCCTTCTCCAGGGGATCTTACCAACCCAGGGATCGAACCCTTGTCTCCCACATTGTAGGCAGACACTTTACCACCTGAACCACCAGAGAAGTCGGAAAGTAAAAGGTTTGAGGCAACTCTGCTGTGAGCAAGTCTATCAGCGCCATTTTCCCAACACCATTTGCTCACCTGGTGTCTCTGTGTCACATTTCAGACTTTTTCATTATTATTGTATTTGTTATGGTGATCAGTGATTAATGATCTCTGATGTTACTACTGTCATTGTTCTGGGGTGCCATGAACTGTGCCCATATATGACATATATATACTAACAACTGATAAATGTGTGTGTGTTCTGACAGCTCCACTGACGATGGGCTGTTCCCTCTTCTCTCTCCCTTCTCCTTGGCCTCCCTACTCCCTAAGACACAACAATATTGAAATTAGGCCAATTAAAAACCCTAAATGGCCCCTAAGTTTTCAAGTGAAAAGAACTGCACATCTCTTACTTTAAATCAAAAGCTAGAAGTGATTAAACTTAGTGAGGAACATTCTTCGAACGTCAGAGCAGCCTGAAAGGCTAGGCCTCTTGTGCCATTTAGCTAAGCTGTGAACACAAAGGAAAAAGTCTTGAAGGAAATTAAAAGTCCTACTCCAGTGAACACATGAATGATAAGAAAGCACAGCCTTATCACCGACATGGAGGAAGTTGTAGTATTCGGGCAGAAGATCAAACCAGCCACCACATTCCCTTAAGCCAAAGCCTAATCCACAGCAAGGTCCTGCCTTTAATTCTACAAAGACAGAGAGGTGAGGAAGCTGCAGAAGAAAAGTTTCAAGTTAGCAGTGTTGGTTCATGAGGTTTAAGGAAAGAAGCTGTCTCTGTAACATAAAAGTGCAAGGTGAAGCAGAAAGTTCTGATGTAGAAGCTGCAACAAGTTATCCAGAAGATTTAGCTAAGACACTTAGGGAGGGTGGCTACACTAAATAACAGATTTTTAATATAGAGGAAACACCTCCTATTGCAAGAAGATGCAATCTGGGACTCTTATAGCTAGAAAGAAGTCAATGCCTGGCTTCAATGCTTCACAGGACAGGCTGACTCTCTTATTAGGGGCTAGTGCAGCTAGTGACTTGAAGCTGAAACTAGTCATTGCTCATCTACCATTCCAAAAATCCTAGGACCCTTAGGAATTAGGCTACATCTACTCTGCTTGTGCTTTATAAATGGAACAACAAAGCCTGAATGACAGCACATCTATTTACAACATAAGTTACTGAATATTTTAAGCCCACTATTGAGTCCTACTGCTCAAAAAAAAGGATTGTTTTCAAAATATTACTACTTCACTGGCAATGCATCTGGTGACCCAAAGGTCTGATGGAGATGTATGACAAGATTAATGTTTTCATGCCTGCCAACTCAACATCCATTCTGCAGCTCATGCATCAAGGGTTCATTTCAACTTTTAACACTATGATTTAAGAGATACATTCTCTAAGGCTATAGATGCCATTCATCAGAAACAATGATTGATTGAAAACCTTTTGGAAGGGATTCACCATTCTAGATGCCATTAAGAACTTTCACAATTCATGGCAAATGGTCAAACTATCAACATTAAGTGGAGTTGTAAAGAAATAACAAAAAAGTTGATTCCAACCCTCATGGATGACTCTGAGGGGTTAGACTTCAGTGGAGAAAGTAATTGCAGATGTGGTGGAAACTGCAGGAGAACTAGAAGTGGGGCCTGAAGATGACTGAATTGCTGCAAATCTCATGATAAAGCTTTCACAAATAAGTAGTTGCTTCCTATGGATAAGCAAAGAAAGTGGTGTAGAAAGCAATGGATATAGAATATTACATAAACTTAGCTGATGAAGCAGTGGCAGGATTTGAGACGACTGACTCCAATTCTGAAAGAAGTTTTACTGGGGGTAAAATGCTATCAAACTGTACTGCATGTGAAATCATTTGGGAAGGGAAGAAGAGTCAATTGCTACAAAGTTTACTGTTGCCTTATTTTAAGAAATTGCCTCAACTACCCCAAACTTCAGCAACCAGCACCCTGATTAGTTAGCAACTATCAACATCAAAGCAGGACCCTCCACAGGCAAAAAGATTATGACTTGCTGAGGGCTCACATGATGATTAAATTTTTTTTATCAATAAAGTATATTTAAATTAAGATATATACACTTATTTTTAGACATAATGCTACTGCACATTTAACAGACTATAGTATAGTATAAACATAACTTCTATATGCAGTGGAAAACCCCAGAATTCATGTCTTGCTTTATTGTGATTTTTGCTTTATTGCAGTGGTCTGGATCAGAACGTATAACACCTCCAAGGTATGCCTGTACTTCAATGGAACAACTTCTTTAATGAGAACTGTTGGAATTTAAGGAAAACTTGCACACTTTAAAAAGTGTAACTTATCTTCTACTGGTAGTCTATGATGGCCTTTATATGATCCATTTTTAAAAATAATGCCTGATTCTTTGAATAACATTAGGTTGAAGGTATTTTCTACTCATTGGGTATCTGCATTTCTTCTTTTATAAACTGCAGTTCTCTTCTATCCTTTTATTATTGATTTGTAATGCTTTACACAAAGTTAAAAGATTAAAAGTCTAGACTTTCTAATATACTAGATTTCTGTTGGAGGTTACAGGTACCCAGAACCATTGCACCCTCTTTCATCCATTCATCTTTCCTCAGCAGCTCTTCTCTGATATACTTCTGGGTGAATACTATTAGGACTAGTAAGAGAGCAAAGCATGTTACCTACAGCCTCCCACTTACACTATTACCACTAGTAAGTACATTTTCTTCCTTTGCTGAAAGGACTTACCTACAGCTGTATTTGTTCCACCAACATTTATATCATTTTCATCATCAAACTCAATCCTGACTCCTTTTCCATTGCCTGCTGAGACTCCACAACCTCCGCTTCGACAGAGAGAAATTGGAACAACACCATAGACATAAGCTAACATAATAGGAACACCAATACCTAAAGAGGAATTAAATTAGTCATTACAATCCAAAAAATAAATCACAGAAACACACATTTTAGAAAGTTTTTCAAGAGAAAGTGTACAGGAGAAAAGTGTTAGGGTTCTGTAACTCTTGACCAAAGCGGATTTACCCAACTATTAAAGGATGCAAGCAGATTCAAAGCTTCTAGCCTATCAGGTGACACACATGAGGTTATATATACAATCTTTCATGTGCCAGGGCTCTAAACTTTCTCTTGGTGGGGAACCATTAGTAATTTACCATCTATCCCCCCAAGGCAAGCCTCTTTAAGTTTATATTACTTTTAACCAATTTCATTACTAAATGAGAGGCTTTCTATAGGCTCAGCTTACTGTCTCTAAATAAAAGTAACTCTCTTACCTTTAACAATAAGATGCTCTGGTTTTCAAAATTCTTCCACAAAACTTTAATTCTACAAAATGTGAGGTAATAGCTATTTTTAAGTATTTCTTACCTACAGTTACTGCAGCTACAACGGGAGACACGATTACGGACAATGTTACACCACCTGCTATGGCCAAATTCCGTTTGTGCTTTGAAACATCCTTGCCTTCATATCGATTGTGAATCTTGAATTAAAAATAAAAATGGGGATGATGGATTAAAGAAAAACCGTATTACATATTTAAATGAAATAGACCTACATTTGCTGGAAGTGTAAAGTGATTTATTTACCTTATAACTTCATAGTCAAGTGTCCAAATTCAAGGTAAATATATTATTGTTCTTAAATCATACTCTTATAATTTGCTCTTTATTAATAATTTGTTTACATAAAACAGTGATTTAATAGATTTTACTTTGTGTTTATTTTTAAACAGTCTTGAGTAAAAGTAGTCCTTATAATCTTATTCAGGAACAGGATAAATCATGTTTTGAACAAAGATAACATTAAGAACATTATTTTCAACATAGTTAGGAGCTGGATATTTGACCAATAGGATTTCTAACAAATGTATCATTCCACAGCCTTCTAAATAAGCATCCCTAAGTAAAAACTGGTTCCTGGAAGAGGTTTACACAGTTTTTGGAAAAAAGAAAAGAACCTGACCTTAAAAAGCAGTACTAATAAGTTAACATCACTAAAAAGAATGAATTTTTTCTCAGATCCCTTTTTATGAAGAAAAATATTATCAAATGACTCAGGATCCTGGACTCTTATTTATAGCTCAAAATAAGGGGTACAGAGAAACAAAAATAACAAATAATCCTGCCAGAGGACAGCAGTCCGATCTACTTGGCATCTCTACAGAGTATAGGTGTTACTAATAAACAGAACTTAATATCACCATTGAAGTTGATTGTGAGATATATGAACTTCAGGAAATAGCTCAGTATCTCTGTTCTCATGGTTTCCAAGGGCTAACTAAAACTAATAAAGTACATTCCCCTCTGTTTCAAGACAGATTCAAAACAGCCTCAAAAGTGTACAGGCAGTCTCTAAAGTAAAATACATGACTTAAAAACAGTATTACAGATGAAGCAAAATAACATAATCTATCATTATCATGTGGTTATTCTGAAGGCTATAAAGTACAATGAATCTTGTGGGATGTTTTAATCAGTGAGAAGGCTGGGGTGGGGAGACAGGCAAAGCATGCATGGACAAGGAACATTTCTATATTCTAGTCAGAATCCCGTTTTCCAGAATGAACTGTATGTCTCAAGGAATGGGCCTCCACACTTCCCGAACAGTCCTTACAGGCAGAGATGGCAAAGTTTCCCATGGCACCTTTCATTTTTCTTCAGAATTCCTTGCCACTCCCATTCCCAGAAAACTTAGCACTGAAGCAGAAAAAAGCCAAAGCTAAAAACTGATGGAACAGACTTGCAAAAGCAGGCAGCAAGTATCTGAGTCTTCCAGAAAATTCTGCATCCTCAAGCACTAATGTTCAATTACAGTGATCATATCACCCTATTAACTTCTGGCTCACTTTTTCCTGTTTTACTATTTTGTGCCACATTTTCTATTACTATTGTAAAAAAAAAAAAAAAAGCTCACTTTTAAGTACTTTATCAATTTAATAGGTTTTCCTGGGCTGGTTTGTATCCCTAAACACCACAGAGAACATGATTTCAATGGAAAACTAATGCATCAACTTGCAATCATTTGAGGACACATTTGAAAAAAGGAGACTTGTTACTGCACCTAAGACTGAACAATGAGGTAAATAATCTCTCCTCTATAAATTATTTTTAGGTATGTACAGTACAACAGTCTCTCTTCCCCTTCTACTTCAAAGTATCTGAATAGTTTTGTTTTTAGCAAAACCTTGCTTTGGACAACTCTATGAAAAATTAAAATCTGTTACTATGTTTGGGACTATAACAATTAAGTTTAGTTACTTAAAATCTTCTGAAATAAACAGTTGGCCCATAAATATCTCTGTTTGGCTTCAGTTTCAAGCTAATCAAAAAATAACATGTACTATTATTTCTGACTATAAAAGTAAGTATGTTGAACATTACAAAAAAAAATTTTGGTTGTTTATGAAAGAGGATCAGCCTTGTCTTGAGTTTTGTTCCGAAAGTCAGAACTAGAATCAAATGAAACAATTTAAAGGAAAATGGACTCAACCTAAGAATTTTCAGTACAGCTCCCTGAGGCCACAATGGGCTGTCAGTGGTTGCCCCACTACTGAAGTGCCCAAATGTATCAGGGATCTCACATGAAGAATCTTGGCGTCTCGGTTTAAATCAGCTCTGCCTCTTCCTGTGTAACTTAAGATAAATTACATAATTTTTTCAAAACTTCAATATTCTAACATTAATTGAGGTTAAAATAAGTCAAAGTATATAAAACATCTACCACACAGTTAAAACTCAACAAATGTTAGTTCCCTTTTAAAAAATTCCTGTACTTTGTTCTGCTTGGTGCAGGGTTGGGATTAGATAATTTCTGAAGTTACTTCTCAATTCTGAGATTCTACTAATTTAGGGAGCAGCAGAGTTCTTAAGCACTTCATAAATTATCCTTTTAACCTTTCAATAAAAAATCATTTGCTTAGCTAATGAAGTATAATTCATCACTCAGGACAGTGGCAAATACTGGGCATTCAGACTTTCACAAAATGATTGTAATCTACCAAACTGCATATTTACTAATAGCAAAAAAAAAAAAACTTTGAAGTTGGAAATGACTCAGGAACTGATTATTCTTTTGCCTTGAAGGCATAAATTATTTATTTATTAACTTCATAGACCGGAGTGTACAAGGACACATGCGTGAGAAAAATGTCAGATGTTTATCCTTCAATATTTTATATGTAAAGTTTATAATACAAATGTACTGAATTCTTCAGATTCAGGTAGATAATTTTCAAGTAAGTCTACTTTTCATGCAGACATACAAGCTTGCCAAACACTGAAAATTGTTATCGTATGAAAAAATAGTAACTATTTTATACTCAAGATGCTAAAATGACCTTTCAAAGCGAACACAAAGCAAGACCGCCAGCCTGAAAACGGGGCGCTGCGTGCGTCAGCAGCAGTCAAGCGCCTTACCTTGCGGCCCACATACACAGGGATGCCGATGATCATGGCAGGGATGGCAATGCCGGCTATTAGGGCGATTCCTACGGGGGCGCCGACAAGTGTGCCCAGCTGCCACAGTATTTTCTTCTTTCGGCTCCAGGGTTTCTTCCCCCAAAAAGTACATCCTGATGGACTAAGGGAAAAATACAATGTAAAGTAACTGCTGCAAAGCATCACAGTAACAACTCACTACAGTGCATTCAGCAATGACTATAAAAATTCTCAAATTGAGGAATGAGGGGTTTTCCCCCTTCCTTTGAATTCTGGGTTTATTAAAAGCTAAAAAAATCAAACTAAAAAACCACCATAAATTATATCAAAAGGATACTAATAGCTGGGATTCAGGTTAAACACTCACTCCTTGTCTCCTCTTAGCCTCAAAACCTTAGGTTTGTCTTTGAAGAGTAAATTAATGCAAAGTATGCTTATTTTACCCCTGTTTAAAGACACAAAATTATCTGACTATATCATAAATTCACTCTGTGACCTAAATGAGGAAATTTATATATGAGAAAATCAAATGGAAATATTTGTGATCTAGCATAATTAGATATTAAATGCTAACTTTCTAGTTTAACAGAGACAAAGCCAGGAATTTCCTGGAGGTCCAATGGTTAGGACTTGGTGAGTTCACAGACCCAGGTTCAGTTCCTGGTTGGGGAACTAGATTCCACAAGCTCTACAAAACAAAACACAAAGCCAAACAAAAAAAATAAAAAAAGAAAAAATTTCCATTTCCTATTTTTGACTATTAATCTCAAATGACTGACATAATAATTGGCTTCCTGTTAAATTTAAGTAGCTAGAATAAAATAGATCTCTTTAAGTAATACTAAGGATAATGCTTTAAAAAAAAAAGTCCTTTTGTCTTACAATATAAAATTTTATTTAGATGTAAGTAGTCCCTTCTATAAACTTACCTTAGATAATGTAAATCTGAGATTTCTTTCATACACAACCAACAAAACTCACAACCACAGACAGCACATGTCATGTGATTACAGCTCCCATCATTCATCTTTATTATATAAGCAGCACATCGTGGACATGGTTTTATATCATCAGCTGTTAGGAAAACAGACATGTTTAGTACATAAAACTTGTCTAAAAATAACAATTTCTAGTAGATAATCAACTGTAGCATTGCCAAAAAATCTTAACATGTATAGTTTGTTAGCTGATAGCTTTAGCCTGCTATTTTCAGTATATAAAGCACTTTTTTTTCCCCTTTCAAGAAAAGGAACAATTTTACATTAAATTTTCAAATTGTAAACATTTTTCAAACAGCAGCAGAACAATGAGAACAAAGAATAGCAAAATAATAAAAAAAAGAAATGAGAACCAAAGGCAGCTCTAGGCAAACTGGAAACTAAAGTTTGTCTTTGTCCTTCCCCCACAGCTGTCTTCAATGAGCAGCAATTCAAGTTCTAGAACTTTTCTAACGATCTCCACTTAAATATAATGTAGATATCCCCCAGTCACTTAGTGGTAAAGAATCTGCCTGCAATGCAGGAGAAACAGGAAATGTGGGTTCGATCCCTCGGTTGGGAAGATCCCCTGGAGAAGGAACTGGCAACCCACTCCAGTAGGAATTTCTTGCCTAGGAAATTCCACGATAGAGGAGCCTGGCCATGCGGTCGCAAAGAGTCAGACATGACTGAGCAACTGAGCACACGCGTAAGTAGCTAAAGGCTATAAACAGTAAGGCATTCCAGGATAGCTTTAGCTGATTCTACACAGGATAGTTTAGGTATATTTGGCTCTTCCCGGAATTGCTTCTCAAACAATACCTACAAATTATTATTAATACCTTTGGAATTCTACCCTAAAAACTTCAAGAAAGGAAATAAAGTGAATCAGTGAATGAGTAAGAAAATCCATGTCCGTTATATAAAATATCACGTGTTGAATTTAAAGTTTATTTAATTTTAAATTCAACTTTAAATATTGAGCAAGACTTCTTTTTCTAGTAGCATAAAGTACATGACTCTTTTAATATGCTGCAGTAGGAATATAAATTATTTTCTTAATAACTTTCTGTATTTTCCAAGTTTTTTCCTTTAATAATGAATGAAAAAAGTAAATATTTTTCTAAAAATGATTGACGTTTCAATAAACAGTGAAAATTCTATGAATGTACGATGGTCAGACTTTTTCTAATTTTTGAGATTTATGCTGTATGTTTTGCTCATGTATAGATTTCCAGGCAACTTTAAATTTCTAGCCAAAGACATAAAGTTTTCTTAGTGTACTCCCCACCAAGGTATGATTTTGAATCCCTGATCCTGGAATTGGTAATATCGAGAAATAAAAATTGTATTTTGTAGAACATGTAAATGCAAAGGATCCAAAAAATACTATTTAAAATCTGTAACTGTGTGATATTAGTATAATAAGAAATAATCTCTAAGGAATATTAGTATTTAAAACAATTGCTAAGCTTTGCATAAAACACCTTTATTTTAAACAACAGTTTGGGACCATCTTCAGCTATCAGTTATATAAATCATCTGTGACATTTCTTTTTTTCCTTTCTATTTTTGGACAATAAAATTTTTCCAACTCAATACCACTTTCTTCTACAGAAAAAAATGAGTGCTTCTGGGACAGAAATGCTAACATGTAAAACACAATTAAAAGGAGACCAGGGACTGAATATTTATTGCATTTTTGAGTAAAATAACAGGTGTTCTATATGTGTCAAATATTTTACTAGAAGAAGTTAGATGTAAATACCTGCTGCTCCAGACTCTTGACTATAACTAATGGATGAAGAACGTATAGTTCTCAGACGTAAACTCTGAGCTCTCTCCTGTCGAGCAGCATCACAGGTCTGATTGGGGTGCCAAATCTGCTTACAGTGGTAGCAAAACTCTGTTCCACAGCCTTCTCGCCCACAAGTTAATTTTGGACAGCTAGCACATCCAAATGCTATCACAGCATACCTGTAAAGAATAAGAAAAATGATTTAAAATGTGATGTAAAATAAGAGATATTCATTAAGTAAAAAAATTATCCAATTTAAATGCTATTCTTGAAAAAGTTTTATATTTATGCATGAGCTAACAATCATAAGCTCATGAAACCTAAACCTATCTTCCTATCAATATAAAAATGGGGATAAATAAACAGTTCACAAAAGACATATAAATGGCTAAAAAACATTGTTAAAGTTTAATTTTCAACTTTTAACTAGGACACCAAACTGTATATATAGCCTATTCCTAATTTTATAAAAATTCTATTAAATTAGCACTGTATGCACACAGAAAAGACTAAAAATACACCAGTTTCCCTGGTATTAGGGTTTTTTCTTCTATATATATACTTATGAGGCCAATTTATACATTTTGTGAGTATCTTGTATTTATGCATAAATTCTTCATATTTTTGTTTTTAAGATGCATGGCAGTAGTTGTCTCTGGTACCAATTAATTTCTCAATTCTCGATCAGGAAATGTGTATTTTTTTTTTTTTTTGCTGCAGATAAAAGACTGAGAACAGCAGATTCGTGACTAATATCTCTTCTCTGAGTTAAAATTTTTGGCACTTTAAGAATTTCTGACTTAAATAAATTCTGGGCACTCTTAGATATTTATTCCAGAGAATGAAAACTTACATTTATACAAAAGCCTATACACAAATGTTTACAGCAGCTTTGTCATAGCTCCAAACTGGAAACAGCCCAGATGTCTTCAACAGATGATGGTTCAACAATCTATGACACACATATATATAATGGGATAGTATTCAACAACAAAAGTGTTGATGCACTTAATAACTTGGATCAATCTCTGGGGTATTATGCGGAGTCAAAAAAGTCAGTCTCAGAAAGTTATATACTTATGATTCCATTTATATAACATTTTTGAAATGACAAAATTTTAGAAATGGAAAAGAGATCTGTCGTGGCCAGAAGTTAGAAATGGGGTGGGGGCAAGGAGTGGGCAGAAGCAAGGTGCTGTATTTAAAAAGCAAGATCTTTTAATATAAGCGATCCTTTTGTGATGGAATTGTTCAATACTTTTGACTATGGTGGTGGATACACAAACGGTACAGGTGATAAAACGATATATAACCAAATACACAAACAAAATGAGTACAAGTAAAACTAAGGAAACTTGAACAAGAAGACTGTATCAATATCGATATCCTGGTCACGATGTTGCTATATAGCTTTGTAAAATTATACCATTGAGGAAAACTGTTCGAAGGATATATAGAATATCTCTGTATTATTTCTTACAACTACACATAAGTACAATCAATTATCTACACAGACCTTTCAATTAAAGGAGTGTAGAGCTTCTGGTTCTCTTTGAAAGAAAACAAGTCATCTATACATAAGAGGCTTTTGTAAATATCAAACATTTTTGCCTAGAAATTTAGGGAAGTTTTCAGGGCTTTTCTTGTTACTGGCAATAAAATTTAAATACTAGCTGTATCAGAGATTTTTATTGAATTTCAAGATAATCCATTAAATTATGCAAAATATTAAGTGTAAGGAAGCTTCTCTAATTTTGGACCTCTTACCCCCTTAGAATTTCACCTTTAAACTTAAATTTTATATATTAAATTCTAATTTATTTCTGATAGGCCATTTACTATAATTACCATCATCTATCATAAACATGTTCAAACATGAATGAATTGAGGCAGTTTAAATCAACACAGGGTAATCTAGGAAAATTTTGTTTCCCTGAGCTCTAAGATTTCCCTGAGGATTTATTTCACTACAGTCTCAATAAATAGAAAACAATTCTTCAAAGACTCTTTATTTTCTCCCAAGTTATAACCTTAAGCAGTCTTTATAACAGTAGTAATTTTGGTGAAAAGAAAATGGTATTCACTTCTAAATCTCTTCTCTACCCTAATTTTTCTTGAAAAAAAGGTGAGAAGAGGAGGGACAGAATGGGGAGACCTGTGTGTGTGTGGCACAATGTAAGACCAACTATTTTTTTAAGTCAATCACAATTTATGAAAGCAGAAGAAAATTTTAGACCACCAGACTCCACTTCTGCCACTTATTGCTTGTATAAAAGTTACACATTACCCGCCTACAACTATGTTTTCCTGAGCATCCAGCAGGGATTCACTCAAGTGTGGCCTCCCTGGTGGCTCAGTGGCAAAGCATCTGCCTGCAAATGCACGAGACACCAGTTCGATCCTTGGGTTGTGAAGATTCCCCTGGAGAAGGATATGTCAACCCACACCAGTATTCTGGGAAATTCCATGGACAGAGGAGCCTGGTGGGCTATAGGCCATAGGGTCACAAAAGAGTCTGACACGACTCAGTGACTAAACAACAACAAAAGTCTGGCTTAGCCTCAGTATTCAGCCAAAAACAGCTTCAGCTTTGGCCTTTACCTTTTAGAAGGCCAAATAAGCAAATGACTGCTTCAGTGACATTTCTAGTACCTCTGCAATTAGAGGATGAGAAGGTTGGATGGCATCACCAACTTGATGGACACCAGTTTGAGCAAGCTTCGGGAACTGATGATGGACAGGGAAGCCTGGCATGCTGCAGTCCATGGGGTTGCAAAGAGTCAGACACGACTGAGCAACTGAACTGAATGACCATTATCATTTCTACATCAATATAAATAATGTATGTCATTTAAACATTAATATGTGAATATTCATTTTTAAATAAATGCTGAAAGCCTTTCTAAGACATAACACAGTAGAAATGTAATTGCTTTAAATGATGAAATTTTACTGGACGACTTAAGTATATAAAGGTACACTGTGCTGCAAGAAGAAAATGTAACAATATTTAGTGATGACTGTGAAAGCCAAATTTAGATACAAACTTAAGAGCTTTCAAATTATTAAATAGGGAAACAGATTTATAGTAAATATGAATGTCAAGATTGCTTTAATTAGATAAACTTAGGAAGAAAATATTCTTTCTGAGCAAACAAACATTTATAAAATATATGAAGCAGTTTAGCAGAAATTGGGCTAAATCATAATTCTAACCTTTGTAGAGGCCATTCAGTATACTAGTATATCACTAAGCAGAACTTTTAAGAACTGACAATTTCTAATTAGTGATGTAGGCTACCTAGCGATAGCCTTTCAAGAAAAAGCCTTTTTTGGGAATTCTTCATATCGTGATGAGAATTAAAAGCAGAATGTCAACTTTGCCATTTCAAAATTTCACAAGTTCTAAAATCTAGCAAAATATCCATAAAAACATGCTATAGCAAGAAAAGTGAGGACTCAAAAACATAGTTTCTTCTCAATAATCAAATTTCCAAACAGCTTTATAAATTCCTTTAAGATGAAAATTTCTTATAGCTTTGAGTCTAAAGACCTAAGTTTGTTGAAAATGACTGCTCATAGACAGTGTATATCTATTTAAATATTAAAAAATATGCAGTTATTATCAGGAGAAAACTAACAGCTGCCATGTTAGAATAATAATCAGTCCTAGCATTATGATGTCAAACATTTAATATCTGATCACTAATTTTAAAAAATTATTTCTTTGAATTTTATATTTATTCTTGTATCCCAGAAGTTCATCCCTGGTGATATTACACTTTGGCTGAGATGAACATTGATTAAACATCTGGCCATTTGACTTCTGTGAAAATGCAGGTTTTTATGTATTTCAAAAATTAGGACATAATAACAAGAAAGAGTTATTGTATTTATGAAAAACAACGAGTGTGTGGAGAGAGGGAGGGTAAGGAAGAGAGGAGAGAGAGGTGGGGGAGAGGAAAAGAAAGGAATAGTTACAACACATCATATGGACTCAAATGTTAGAACTAAAGTACATCAAAATTGTTTCATGCTACTCTGCAGCATTCTCTTAAATAGAAAAGCTAAGGTATTCCTAGTGCATAGCTAAACATTTAAGTCCCATTCAATCTAAACGAATTCCAAAGAAAAACGGGATTGCCTTTAATAATACTAACCAAATATTTTCATGACTGAATTCTGATAACCATAATAGTTAGGGTATTTTGTCTAGAAAATTTTTCTTATGCTAATAATTATTGAGTGTTTACTATGTTAAGTATTCCATCTTCATACATATTCAACCCTAATAGTAACTGTTAAGCACATTTTATCATTTTATTATATAATATATCAAGGAATTAAATGTATGAAGCATTCACATATTTTGAAAACAGAATGACAGGACTCTTGAAGATGATTTTCATTGTGTGGGAGCCACACTTTTTTTCCACTAGAAAATAACTTTCAATTATAATGGAAGCAAATGGTAAAGCATTTGCTTTAAAGAAAATTTTCAATGCTCTAGTGCATTATGTATTATTTGTGAAAATAACATGCTCAGCAGTTAATAGAAATAACTGAATAATATTAGTTAACCAACTAAAGATCTCTAGCTTAAACAGTACTCAAACCTTGGTTCAGAAGACAGTTCTATTTCCTTTTATGATTCCTTATTTAACTCAAGTCTTACTTTCCATCTCTATTTTTCAGCTAAAGGTCTCCAGTTACTTGAAATGCTTAAACCTTTCTACTTAGCAGGAGAAAGTGGGGAAGAGAGAAGGGGACTGAAACAGAAGTTTTTCCAGAAATATTTTCTATTTGTTGGATTACTAAAGGTGATCCATATTAAGAAAGAACTGTGGTAAAGTTAGGACATACTAAGAAAAATTATTATTATTTTTTTTACTATAGGATTTGCTAAGATAATTTTTTCTTTATTTTTTGTTATTTTAATTTTCACAACGTGTGTTGGTTTCTGTCATGCAGAACAATGTGAATGAGCCATAACCACACATATACACCCTCCTTCGTAAGCCTCCCTCCCTCACCCCCACCCGACCTTTAGGTCATCACAGAGCACCAGACTGGGCTCCCAATGTTTTACAGCAATTTCTCCCCAACTCTCCCCTTTACACACGATAGTGTGTATGTGTTGATGCTACTAACATACCAATCGTGTACATAAATAGTAAAC